AGGACAGGCTTTGGTTGCTTCCTCCCTCCCCTTCTTTCATTTGTGTCCTTGATCCCTGATCCCAGCAGCATTCACCGAAGACGAAGAAAGCCGCCATTTTTTTTATTTTTTTTCTTTGCGGCCCGGTACAGAGTGCTCCACAGACCGGTACCGGTCCGCGGCCCGGTGGTTGGGGATCCCTGCCTTAGTCCAACCCCCTGCTCAGGCAGGAAACTGTATACCATTTCAAACAAATGGTGTCCAGTTTCTTCTTGAAAGCCTCCAATGATGAGTCATTCACCAGTTCTGAAAGCAAGGCATTCCACTGGTTGATTGTTCCCACCATTAGGAAATTTCTCTTTAGCAACTAGTAAATAACTTAGCAACTAGGAAGAGATGTGGGAGTTTCCAAGAAGTTTCCAAACACTGCCTCTCCGAGATGGGTTGGCCATTCCTCCTCTCACAACATTGACAAACACCTCAGCATTTCCGACAGAATCCCAACAGGGGAACCTGGGCAGAGAGAGCCTGTTACATTTCCCCATTCAAAGAACTGCTCATTTTAGCATGAGGGTTGGCTGTGGGCCTCCCACAAACACCTGGTGTGTTCCCACTCAGCATTATGTCAGAAAAATGCCACATCAGGTCCTGCCAAGAAAGTCCTTTGTTATTTCTGGCTGTGTTGCCACCACCTGAAGTGCTGTTGCACACAGAAGAGTGTGCTCCCTGAGTAGAAGGAGCAAGGGGAAGGAAGGGCGCAAGATTTATACAATCTGCATAGAAACCACTGTTCTTTCTTGTTCTCCCCCCCCCCCCACTGCACCCGCGCTTTGGTCTTTTCTTTCGTCTTTGTATTCTTTCCATCAGTGGGTGTTAGTTTTAATGTCCTCCTTAAAACTTTAAATAAAATTTATATCCCAAAGGTGCTTTTCCAAAAACCAACTGGACTTTCTGGTTGTTGTTTTTGTTGTTTTTTGAAAACGTTTCACTTCTCGTCCAAGTAGCTTCTTCATTTATTCAGAAGGGTTTTCACAGAAAAAAAACCAAGAGAGTCCAGCTGCCTTTTGGAAAAATCACCTTTGGGACAACCATGACCTGGATCATTGGGAAACTCCATAGACAAATAAAATTTATGTTTTTTTTAATATATTGAACGCACAGAGGGGCTGAAAGATAAGATGCAACAGAGATCATAACCAGCAGAAGTCGATGACTGGCTTCCTACAGCTCAAGTCCAACCAGGGTTTACAAATCACAGTTTCTACAGTCATATAACACAGAAAGTCACCCTGCTCCCCCAAATCACGCCATCAAGCTGAGTCCAGGTGGCGGAGTGGTTAAGGTTATGGAACATGAGTGGGAGATCGGAGTCAAAATCCTCTCTCAGCTATAGTGGGATTTCTATTGCTGGATTACTTGGGGCCAGTCAAGTTATTTTTGTGGGACTAAAAGGAATGCAGATGACCAGGCTGAGCCCAAGGGTGGGGTCAAAGCACCATCAGCCCTGAGTCCCTACACGCCCACAAGAGATCTAAGTCCAGCCCAGTAGTGCAGATTCTTGTACTGCAGAATTGTCTGAACCTTTCCAGCTTTGTCGACTGGTCAGGGCTGGGGAAGGGAGAGGGGATGGTTCTGCATGATTTGGCTAGCAAATGCACACATTTGTGCAAACAGCAGGCACGCACGTGGCTCGTGCAAGTGGAGCATGTGCTTCCCTGTTGCTCATGCCAGTGGCAATTCACACTCTCATCTTGACGCTTCCACGGCCTGGTTGTAAACAGCTCACAGCCCAGTAGTGGGCTAGGGCCTGGGGCTTGGGGACCCCTGCTAGAAAGAGCTTAAGCTTACAATAAAACTTTATACCCATTTGAACTGCCTGGATCTCCTGATTTCCCTGGTGCTGACAGATCCCTCCATAAGCTGTCTCAAGTTCTTGAAGAAAAGGTGGCTTGTAAAGCTCATCAACTGATCAATAAAAGGGCTTAATGGAAGGGCTGGTTTCATGAAGCATCATCAGACAAGAGGCTGATTTCATGAAGCATCTACCCGACAGATCAGTCCACATATAGTTGGTCCTAAACATATGACCACAACCCGGATCAGAATTTCTGATGCTAAACAAGGTGGCTGTTAGGGGTGCTGCAGACAATTTGACCACATTTTTGCCACAGTTGTTGAGCAAATCACTAAAGTTACGTCCATCACTCAGTAATTAAAGGAATCCGGCTCCCCCCACTGATTTTTACATATTGGGAGCCATCTGGGAAGTGTTGCAAATAGTGATCCTGGGACGCTGCAACCCTTAGCCAAGAGCCTTTGAATTTTGATCACGCAACTGTGAGAATGCTGCAATGGTCTTAAGTACGAGACCACTTATAAGTCAGTTTTTTCAGAGCCATCGTAACTGAATGGTCTTTCAACAAATGGCTGCAAGTCGAGGACTAGCTGTATTACTGAATGCTGTCTTATGTCACTAAGCACACATCATGCACCCAACCCAAATGTCAGTGCTCCCCCCTCCCACTGCCTTGCCTCCTAGAGGTGCTGGGAATTGTACTTCAACACTGCCCGGGACGTCTCCTCGAGGGAGATGGGCAGTTTATAAATAAATAAAGTAATATCAGAAATGCCAGAGACACGTATCCTGCTCTAGCAAATGGGTAAGATGGTTTCTCTAAACCTATAGGTCACCGGAGGAAGTTAGGTGATCCTCCAGAACTCAGAAACCAGTGTGGACAAATCAGAACATAGAACTTAAAATAATACAGTTGGAAGGGACTTTGGAGGACTTCTAGTCCAACCCCTTGCTTGAGCAGGAGGCTCCATCATTACAGACAACAGTAGAGACCTTCAAATTTCTAGGTTCTATTATATCACATGACCTAAAATGGACACCTAACATCAAAAACGTCATCAAAAAAGCACAACAAAGAATGTTCTTTCTGCACCAACTCAGGAAGCTCAAACTGCCCAAGGAGCTGCTGATCCGGTTCTACAGAGGAATGACTGAGTCTGTCATCTGCACCTCTATGACTGTCTGGTTTGGCTCTGCAACCCAACAGGACAGACACAGACTCCAGAGGGTAATTAGGACTGCAGAAAAACCAATTACTACCAACCTGCCTTCCATGGAGGACCTGCATACTGCACGAGTCATAAAGAGGGCTGTGAAAATATTTACAGACCCCTCACATCCCAGACATAAACTGTTTCAACTCCTACCCTCAAAATGACGCTATAGAGCCCTGCACACCAGAACAACTAGACACAAGGACAGTTTTTCCCTGAATGCCATCACTCTGCTAAACAAATAATTCCCTCAACACCGTTCAACTATTTACAAAGTGTACACTACTATTACTGTTAATCTTCTCACCACTCCTTATCACCCATCCCCTCCTACTTGTGATTGTAGGACTGTAACTTTGTCGCTTGTATCTTTATGATTTATATTGACTGTTTCCTAGTATGATTTGATTGCTGATTGTACCCTATGACTATCATTAAGTGTTCTATCTGATGATTCTTGACTGTTGACGAATGTATCTTTTCTTTTATGTGCACTGAGAGCATTTGCACCGAGACAAATTCCTTGTGTGTCCAATCACACTTGGCTAATAAAGAATTCTATTCTATTCTATTCTATTCTATTCTATTCTATTCTATTCTA